CTGTAATAAATAAGGAAGTAATCTACTCAGACTCACAGGGAGAAGGAAGCATCTTTTGTGGTTCCTTGGAGGCCGCTAGTCATTCTAGAATAAGCATTAACTAGGTTAGAGGGTGTTATATCCAGTCCTTGTTCATGGTAACCAAAATGCAAGGTTCTAAGGGCCTGCTCCAGACCCTTTTCAAGTCAATGGGAGTGTTCCCTTTCTTTTGAGAGAATTTTGGGTATGCCACTGTGTGTTAGGAGCTAATACAGAGACATTAGGTTTGGAAACTTCCCAAAGGAGGACAAAGAATCTCAGTGTCTAGCTAGCTATTTTTCTAATTGCAACAAATGGTTTATTTTCCTTCTGTTTTGTGTATGTTTAACTCTTATTAGCACTAATGGTAGGTCTGGTCATATATTCAGGATCTTAAATAGTGTTCCCACATTAAGGGAGCTCCACAAGAGTGGGGTCTGGCTCTTTGCTTGAACTCCCAGATCCTGTATGTTGCAATCACTCATGCCACAATGTTACAAGCAATAAATATGCCCACTGTTAATGCTCAAATACATGATTCTTTCAAGTCATCCAGCTCATAGACAATAACATTGAAAGGGTGCGTGCTGTGTGTGATTACTGCCAGCATTCAGTATCCCTTAAATTTCAGTTTAACACTAATTATTTCAATATTTGGCTGGGAATAAGCCCTTGAGAGAGAACTCTTCTTTCCATCTGGGCAGTGTGATTTGCTAATTGGTTGCTACCATCTAATCCACAAGCACTCCTTACACATTTGTCCTTGAGCGCTCCTTACACAGACAGCCAGACCCAAGAACTGATTCAAAGTGGAATATTACATTTACCCTATGCACCAGGTTGTGGTGTCACTTATACCTTCCTGACACACTCACAGCAGGATGTAAACAGGGCTTAAGTGGGACACAGGCCTGAAACTTTCCACCCAGGAAGAAAGGAGGAATAAGTGCAAGAGCTCCAGAGAAGCTCGTAAACTTGTAAAAGGAGCCTCTGTAGGTGCCTGCAGTCGAGAGCCTGATTTTACTTGATCCTTAAAGCTAACATTAATGGGACTGGCTGCCTCTTACAGTGTTGCAGTTCCTCCAAGGTGACTCCTCCTTTTGGATTACTAGAGTCTATGGCCTGGGATTATAATGAAAGGAGGTACATGCATATATACATATGCATATATATACATGCATATGCATATATATGTGTGTGCACATACACACACACATATATTAATAATAAATACATTCTAGAGAAACAAAATTGATCAAATAAAGTGGGGGTAGTACGTGATTGCTAGTATTGTGCAAGCAAAGCAGATGTAGCCTGGATATACCTCCCATACAATCATGATCAATGTTTTCTTTCTTAACAGTGAAGCAGACTTAGGCTTAAGTTTGACACCCTAGCTGCTCCCACACAAGGGCATGCACCCCTTCTCCATCTGCACAATGCACACATACCTGCACCAATCAGAAATGCACGTAGCAATGTCTGTACCCAGTTTATACATGTGAATATCGTGTATTACAGATGCAACAAGTACCTGTAGTAATAACAGGTGCAGCTGAGGTATCAATACCTTGACATTTTATAGGGTTTTCTTTTCCCACAAAATCATGGTGCTTATAGTAAAAACTAGTTTCTTTGGTCTTTTATGGCAATTTTGCAGCAGCCTCTCAGTGCAAAACCACACTACCCTACCACACCTGAATTGGTCCATTTGAGGATAGCATTCTGGAGGATGATTCTTAGGTGGCGTAGAGTCATTGTAGTGATTCCTATCTTGTCACCCTGTCCTTATATTAGAAGGCAAGGTGTTGCTATGCCCTTTTATAGGTGTTGTCAGTTTATAGGGCTGGGCCGGTGAGGCCAGGATCATGGGGCCAGGTCACGGGGCAGTGACAGCTCAGGGCTGGGGCCTGGGCTGAGCCGTGATCTGCCTGCATGCCCTGCCCTGTGGTGGGAAGGGGGACATGTGCATGTGTGTTGGGGGAGGCTGCCTGGGCTCTAGGTCCCAGGGGTCAGGCAGGGGCGAGAGGAGGGAGCAGGAGGCAGGGGGCACGTGCAGCAGAGCTTGCCTGGGCAGTATGGTCCATGGCTGTCCCCTCAGTGCTCCACATAGGGCCGAGCCTCGTTTGGGCTAGCCCGCACCCCACTTCTGCCTGTGCCTGCCAGCCTGGCTCCAGCCAGCGCACAGCTTCTGGCAGGGATGTTCCTGGTGCAGCTGCTTCTCTTGCCTCCAGTGGGAGCCACCCAGCTAAAGCTTCACCCCCTGCCTGCCCAGAATGGCACAGCATGGGCAGGAGTGGGAGGAGGAGCTGCAGCTGGAGATGAGGGGACCAAAGCAGCACCAACGCCAGGGCCAGGGCTGGGGCCTAGGGCAGCAGGGCTGTTCTGGGAGGGGAGCAGGACAGCCCCACCACCTCGGGCCCCAGCCCCAGCCAGCACGCACAGCTTCCGGCAGGGCTGTTCCCAGTGCGGCTGCAGCCAGCTGGGTGCTGCTCTCCTCCACTTGCCTCCAGCTTCTCCTCCCGCTCCTGCCCCTGCTGCACTGCTCCAAGTGGGCGGGGAGCTTCAGCTGGGCAGCTCCTGCTGGAGGCAAGGGGAGCAGAGCAGAACCAGGCACGGCCCCACCGGAAGCTGCACACGCCAGTCGGGGCCCTGGTCAGCGGGCAGGAACACAACACAGGCTGCCCCGGCAGGAGCGGGTGGGGCTGGGCTCCTTGTGGAGTGCTGCAGGGGCAGCCATGGGCCAGATTCATTCAGTTGGTGGGCTGGATCCGGCCCATGGGCCATATTTTGCCCACCCCTGCCTTAAGGCCATTAGTTTTTTGTAACTTTCCAATCTGCTCTGTGTAAATAGCTCATCTGAGAATTGGGAAGTTGCAAAGCCATTTTGTCCTCCTTTCTCCTCTTAGCTGCCACACTAGATGATGTGACAGTGCATGCTTAGAAATGGGTTCAGTTAGCTAACAAAAGGTCTGAGGGAAATCTCCTCATTAATTGTAACTATTTTTTTATTTGAATATTATATTACTATGCAACTAAGACTGCCCACACTATTTTAATGAGAAGGGATCGTGCTGGGTGCATGCATGTATATGGTGTAGCCCCATGAACATGCATGCTCACAGACATGATCTATGTAGGATGCTATAGGAACTTCCTGGACTCTGAATGTTAAAAATGGCATTTAATTTTTTAGGATTACCCCAGAATCCTGTGATTATCTATTCCTGGTTATTAGAGTATGCTAAGGGTAAAATAGCCTGACTTTCAGAGGTGTCAAGAATCTACACATGCTGTTGAAATCAACGGCTGCCTGCGGATTTTGATACCTTACTTTAGGCTCACCCTTGTGAAAATGCTGGTTTACATGACTTCACAATGGTCACACACAAAGTCAATGTCAGCTGAGACTGGTTTCGCTTGTTCTTAGCTCCCCAGATGATGATGTCTCTTGTGTTGTGGAGGTGTCTCTCCTCCCCCTTGCTGCCTTCAAGTTCAGCAGAGCAATTTGTTTATTCTCAGGCAGTTTAGGGAGTGGGTGACAATCTGGGTGTCATCAGTGGTAGTTGAATCAGCACCACTCCTTTGATCTGTGAACTGTTCCAGGCTCTAATAGCATGACTGTGGGTGGGTGAGTAGTGCAGGAGCCCTAGGCACTCTCTATGGAGAGGTTGGGATGCGGGGCACTGGAATGGAGTTGGGGATGGGGTGGGTCTTACTCTTGTGGTCCCCTGTTTCTTCCAACACTCACATACTGTGACTTCCCTGCAGTGGCTCCAGCAGCACAGTAGCAACAGTGCACAAAGTACGAGCAGCCAGAGATTTGCTGCTGGGGGGAGGTGATGGGGAGGGGTGGGAGATGTCACCACCTTTTTTGCTGCAATAATCACTGGTATTTTGGCCACTTGGCGCACATATCAGTGGCAAAAAAAGAGGTGACATCCCTCCCTCCCTTCCCCACGGCAGCGAACCTCCAGCCATTGCCTGTGCGCTGCCACTACCCAGCACAGTGCTGACAAGTTACACCTCTGCCAGGCTCCTATGAAAACTGCAATGATCTGGCTTTGATTTTTTTTTCTGGACTCCAGTGCCTCCCCCTGCATCATTGTGATGGAATCGGGAGTACTCTGGGATCTTTAGGAAAAATGATGTGTTTTCTGCCCTAGAGGCAGGGGGGTGAAAGTGGGGGTTTTTTAGTTCAAGGTCACCCTGGCACTTTGTGGTTTGCAAGGGCTAGCTGTGCTTGCATGCTGTGCTCTAACCACGCATAGGTGCATCATCTTGGTGTCCAGGGGAATTGCATTCTGCTGTTCTTGACTGGATGGGTGGATTGATTTAATATAAAGTGTCTAAAGAAAACTTAAAAGCAGAAAATACTGGGTTTCCATGTCACAGTTAAAGAATTACCAAAGTCCCCAGCTTTTCTACTGTTAGGGCTGGACTCTTGCCCAAAGGGACTGTTACAACTGTAAGGACTGTTGCCAAATCCAAGTCCAGATGTGAACCATTTTATATATGGCACAGTTCAAAATCTGGGTTGATTTGTACCCTGAGCTGCTGCACTGCTGTGGCTTTTTAAATCAGCCCAGAGCCTGGAGCATGAACATTGTGCAGGCTTCAATGTGCATATAAGTAGATTGGTGCATACATAAATATTCTAATTTGTTATAATACACGATAGGAATACAGTTTATTAGCTAATCAGATACATGGACACAATACTGACACAGTGAATTGCCTCGGGGTACCCTCAGTTGTTGGCTTGGATGACTTATGCTTTTGTTAGATGTTTGGGCATGATGCCTCCCTCCCTGTTTAGGAAATAGATCTTGCTTTTTAAAATTAGTGGGAAACCCATTAGAGAGAGAGAATTCTCAAATACTAGTGTGAGGAGGTGTTTGCGTTCAGCATATTGTTTGTTTTTTCTATTTCAAATGCAAAACTTTGGTAGTTCTTACATTGACTTTTTTCCTGTGTTTTAGGATGGGCGGAGTCTTCGTGCCATACCCCTGCCTGGTTATGAAGTCAGTTTACCAAGTTCTGGTGAGAAGTTTGAAGCAAAACACATTTTAAAGCTTTACCAATCCCAACAAACTCTATATTTCAGTGCAGAGGATGAAGAACTGCAAATGAAATGGATGGAAATTCTCACCAAAGCAGCTAAAGGGGAGACTGAAGATCTAACTGAAGGAATCAGTAACCCATAGAGCAAATTCCATTTAGTTTCTTTAACTCATGCTATATACCGTCACTTGAATTCGGTGTTCATGGCACTTTGGAATCTGTATGGCTTTATATTTTCATGCGTCTGCGTAGCAATTTCAGCGGTTTCTCTCTCCTTTTTCTTTTTGTACATTTATCACGTGCAGTACTAGCTATCTGACATATATTACATTAAAGGAAAAAGTAGTAGTAGTTGTTGACTGTGTTTATGCTGGTTTTAAATCGGAAGATAAGGAAGAAAGCATTAACTTTATCAAAGGTAATGGAAGACCAACAGTCTCTTGTTTTCCTAAATGTATATTTTTCAGTCCTTTCAATTGCTGTTCAGTGCAGGGTGTGTATAGTCTGTGATTAGGTATATAAATGCTGCCTTTAAGTTAAATGTTGTAAAGGCTTGTGGCTGGCCACTGACATTCTGTTCTCTGTCCTTCCCCTTCTGATAAGAATGGTCTTTGTGAAGTGTGAACAATGTACTGAACCTTTTCTTTTACTAAGCTGTTTGTCTCTACTATTTTGAGATGACCCATTCACAAGATGTATACTGTAGAAGAGACTTTTAATAATTACTGCAAACCATGCAGAAGAGAACATTAAGAAGCCTCATAAATATTAAGCTTTTATATATTGTTTTGTTTTCTTTTGAAACCAACACTTTTTTATTTCTTTTATGAACCCATTTTAATGTAAGTGAACCAACATTTTATACTGCAACCCGGGATGTAACCAATAAACAAGAACATTTTTAGTATACACAGTACAAAAAGGTGACTTTTTTGTTGTATTGGTTAACTTTTTTAAGTAATCTAGGATTTATTTATATAATTTGTAAATAATGTTACATAAGTATTTTAAGAAGTTTTAAAAGATTTGAGCTAATAACAGGGTTTAGTGCATAGGATGATACGAGATATTTGTATGAATTGAATTTGTAATTTAATTTCCTTGTTCACCTGTATTTGTCTTTTTCAAACCTTAAGTGCTTATCTATTTAAATAAAATCCGTACATTACTCCTGAGCCAAATCTCCAGAATACTGCAAGCTTTAGATCAACATTTAACATAGGTACAGTATGAGAGTCCTATCTGTTTTTAGTAATAGCAAGCATGTAGTGCTGATATGCAAGGAGAAAAAAATGAAATAAAATTTGTCACAGTGGTATGATTTTTAAACGCTTTGGTTTAACTTTTGTTCCCTGTTCAGCCTTCGACATTTTCTATCCGGTGTTTGTCAGTGGAGAGCACTGATCCATACAGTCAAAGTTTCAGTTCGGAGTGTTTGAAAATTAAGGCTCCAAGCCAGTGCGTATTTCTCTCCCATAAGACGCCTCTCCACTGACTAAGGATTTAATTGTTTGGTTTTACTTTTAAAAAGTGCCTTTTCTGTAAACAAAATCCACCCATTTAATTTGCTCCTTAGGTAGCTTCCGGTAGTTCTGTCCCCACAGTGCTACTATCAGCCGAGCCACTTAACAAATGGATATGACATTCCAAGATTTTTCAATTTATAGATTTTTAAAGGTAATTTTTCACAAAAAAATGGTTTTACAAGTCTTTTGATTTTAACATTTTCAGTATATTGTTTTCTAGTTTTCCCTCAATTTTTTTTCTTTCTTTCTTTCTTTTTTTGGCTACTGAAAGAGAAAGGAAGAAGAAATGGTAAGCCCAAGCCAGAAAAAGTTGATAAATTTGTTGTTTTCTAGCTTTAGTAAAAAAATAGTAAAATCTTGTTTTTTAAAAAATATTCCAGTTCAGCACCTTCCTTAGATGCCCTCTTACCCTCCCCCAGAAAAAAGTGTTTTCTCATCTGTTGGCGCATCTGTATGAGACACTACTATGCAGTAGCATTGCCAGGCACTAGCCATGCGGCAACGTTACTGTACAGTAGTAACGAGCTACTGTGCAGTAGCTCATTTGCTACTGTGCAGTAACAGCGGAAAAAAATATGTGGTGATGGTACTGCACAGTAATGCCAGTTACTGTTGCTTATGCAAGTACTAAATGACTGAGCAGTAACAACTGCACCATCCACTGTACATGTAGACACAGCCTGTGTGGAAGATTGACACATGAGGGCAGAGGCCAGGTCCTCAAAGGAAAAGTTTCTCAGTGTCTCGCATCTCTCTGGATTCTGCCTGGAGAAACCCTGTCAATCACAATTGCCTACATAGGTTAAGGTTATATAGGTTAAAAGCCAGAATTTAAATTCTACCTCACACTTAATGGAGTCTAGTACAGATCCAAAAGCTCTGGTGCTCTTGGACATCAACATGGAAATCTTTTTCCTCAAGGGCAGCCTAGACTCTAATAAAGTCCCCAAATGCATATGTTAGATTGCCCTTCCCTGGAGTCCAAGCTGCCTATGTGACCAGGAGGCGGCCAAGATGGGGCATATAAGCCTAGGGCCTGAGCTGGTCAGGAAGTCTAGCCCTAGAAGCCAGAGAGACAGGAGCTCTTGGAAGCAGGGCTGCTGAGATAACTGCTGAGCCAGGGTTAGCAGCACTGAGCATGGGAACAAAGCCTGAGTCCAGGGGGGACTGAGAAGAGAGGGTCTGGGGCCCAGAGGTCTGGAGTCCAGGAGGGATGAGCATCAGCAGAGCCTAGGAAGCTCAAAGATCTCAACTAGCCTAGGAGTAGGGCCAGGGCCTAAGCAGACTGAAGCTCAGGGACCACAGCCAGAGACCAAGGGGGCCAAAGAGCCTGTAGCCCAGGAGGGGCGATGACTGGGACTGGGAGCTCATAGACCAAGAAGGGCATGTAGCAGCATATCCTCTGAGGCATGGGAGTGGGTATTGGGGAGGATGGAGCCCATGATTAGCCCTTAAGGCAATGACCATAGACACCTCTGGTCATGAGTGTGATACCAGGCTTGGGAAGCCCTGGGACAGTCTCCCTTTCCTCAGAAGTTAATAACATCAGGGCATGGCAGTTGAGTACATGAGAGAATGCCCAAAGGGAGCCAGGTTGGCAAGGACTTAGTGGCCTTCAGGGGGCATCGCATTGCTACTATAAAAATTAAGGCTTAGTCTGGGCAAGGCTTGAATCTGTGTACTTAACTGTGATCCATGAACTGTCATTACTCCATATTTCCTTGATTCCTGGTAAATTCAGGTACCTCCCATGTCAGGAAACCAAGCTCTTCTTTCTTATATGCTTACATAAATGAGGATCATGTCAAAAGTGATCACAATCTATTGTACATTATGAACAGATATTTCAAAATTGCAAGCAGTCAAGCAGAGTTCACTGATCCCCAAATCATCTTCCGAATTCAGTTGTGTAATGCATGTTCTGGGACTTGTTAGATATGATGCTACTAAGGCCAAAATATGTTTATTATAACTGGTAGGTAAGATGCCACCTTTAAGAAGAATTTTATGACATAGATACAGTAGAGAGTTGATTATTCAGAAAATTAATTAATCAAAAGGTTTTATAGTAACAAAACCATCAGCCCACAGTTGGGTTTTGCGTTTCAGTGCACATTGTTTATTTGCTAGGGCTTTGAGATTTTAGAACATTACACAGAACCATCCATTTATTTCTTAATTTTAAAAAATATTTGCTGTATAATATAGTAATTATACTTTTCAGCACTCTATACTGTGGTATTTATTATTCTATTATCCAGAAAAAATGATTATGCAGAACAATGGTGACACTAATTCTTCTGGACAATCGACATTCTATTGTATGGGTCAGTCTGCAAAAGAGCAAGCAGACATCTCTCTTGCCTCTGATTCTACAACAGCTTTGGTATGTGCTTTGTGCACTGTAAATTTCTCCTGACATCAGTAGGATTATGTAAAGCATGTGTGGGCTTGGGACCTGCGTAAGCAACCAATGTACTGCTGGAGTAGATTTCCCAGATGTTTAAAACCCAGCCTTTACTTTTTGTGCCTGTAATTTTTGTCCACAACCACATGCTTGCAAAGCATACAGTTGTCTATATGATCACATCAGTGGCTGTGAAAAAAACTGTGTATGCAAAATGGAAATCGTTTTCATTATCAGACCGATAAAGATTGCACAAGGTGGCCTGAATATGCTATAACACCTATGCATTCTTCTTGAGTGTCATGGATTTTTTACTTAATTTGCACTATGGAAGTTCTTGAAACTTGTGTGTCAATTCAGCCTGATCTCATCTATCATAGAAATAAATGGGTCATGAACCTGAAGACTTCTCTGGCATTCAGGCCTATATGAAATGGAAAGAAATTCTCCCTACTGCCGAGGAGTTTTGCTGGTCCCCTCATTGTTCTAAATAATACATCGATTAAATGAAATGATACAGCCTAAGTGCTACCGGATTTTCTTAGAGAAAAGTAAGCTTTTTAAAAGAGAAATCTGTATGGATAGCTGAGGGAGAAGGGTTGTTTCCTGATTGTGTTCAGCAGACCTGCCATCTGGATGATGCATGAAAAGAAGTTAAAAAAGGGGGCCATATCAATGATGAACCAAGAAATTATGAAATATTTTTGAAAAGAATGTGTGTTGTGTGGCATCCATAGATGAAGCTATAATAGGGAGCCCTGTTTTCTATGCAAAATTCAAACTTTTCCCGTTTTTTGCTCAGAAAGTGAGGTGAGAAAAACAATCATGTTTGCAGGCATTTATCATCACTCAAGATCAGCACCAAGGTGTTCAGAGAGAATTTTGCCTTCCTTAAGTTTGCATATCAAATGCAGACCTGCTGGTTTCCTGTTCTCTTTGTGGCAATAGAGTTCATTTCTTTTAGTTTTTTTCCTTATTTGCATCCCATCACAATTTCTCAGAAATGGTTGTGCAGCAAATGCTGAAGCTGTATAATGAAGTGTGTGGTTAACCTGTGTGCCTCTGACTTTGCTTCCTTGGTGCTCTTTCACTCAGCATTAACTGTGAAATATAAATGACTACATGTCTTATTAATAAGAATTTCCTTCTTTACTTTTCTATTGTTTCTCTTTTTTCAGTTCTTCACCCCATACAGGGACATGATGAGGTTTTCCATCTGGCCTGCACTTTTGTCTGGGTGTTTTCGCTTGGCTGGGCAATCTGCAGGTCCAAGGAAGCTTGACAGAGTTGAATGATTACGTTTTTCTGTGAAATGAAATAGTGATAAAACAAGCTTTTCAGAAAGCAGTTGCTGGCTGTCTTCACAGATGCTGCCTGATCTATGATCACAGGAGATGAGAACAGGAGGAAGAATTCTGCTCGCTGTCCATAAACATACTTTTCTCCCTATCTTCTTGGTTTGGTTTTATCCAGACTTAAATAGAAGACTTGTTCAATTTTTGTCAAATGAGAATGAGCTTCATGTTTTGCCCATTGTGGTGTATTGATGCTAGAAGAAGTTATAGGGCTTTTATAGCTATATATGCATACACACCACCTAGGTCTTGGCAAAGTGGCTCATAGGTAAATGATAGGAGCAGATCTTTACCTACTGTAAATAACAACTGTATAACAAGTACTTGAAACCTGTTCAGCTTCAGCCAGCTGGGGGGAAAGAGGTATAATCTCCCTACCAAACCTTCCTCTCAACAGCTTCCTTTGTACTAGCTTCCCTTTCCCACCCAGATTAGCCAGGTGATAGGCAAGAACTTGGTATGCCACAATGCCTTTTTCACATCTCATACTTCAGGGGGAAAGAACTGAAGTAGCCAGGTGCTCTGCAATATTTTGTGCCATTATTATCTATTGTGCTGCTAGGTTTGAAACAGCGGAGATGGCCAACTACTCCACCGCCTCTGTACAAGGGTAATGTATTTAAATGTTGCTTAATGGCCTTATGGACCCTTTATTAATCTCATAGTTCATTTGAAACTTCTTCACACTTTGATAAGAGCCAAGTATTGCTATGAGGACAACTTACGAAACTTTGATTTTCAGCACTTAGAAGTTGCTGTTGCTATTGACTTACAACAGTCGTGTTTTCAGCAAGTCTGTTCTGAAGCATCCGCGTGTTCCTATGGACACAGGTCTGTGGGAATGTGTTTGAGCTCTTTGTGGGAGCTTCTTCATTGACACTT